TATTAGATTTTTCTGTGTTTCGCCTTCAACAAGCATTTCACGCGTTGTGCCAATGGAATTATAAAGAGAGCAGTGGACATTTCTGTAGCGCGGCGCGGCTCCGTCCGCGTTGAGTATATTTTTTTTTTCCCCCTGACGCGGCGGCCATGTTGTATGAAAGGTGAATTGGGTTTCCTGGAAAGGCGATCATCGGCGCGTATCTCATTGAAAGTCTCTGCGGGGGAAAGTGCCGGCCGATCAATGCGGAGAAAACTTGATGCCGGCGACGTGACAACACAATTCCAGGCCAGCTGACGGCTCGCCATAAATTGACGGCCGCGCGCTGACAGCCGGCAGACAACATGCGGCGATATTCTCATGACTGATGGATGCTCAGGACCCGTCCGCAATATGATACTGAACACCGTGGCGCGGACAATGAATGTAAAGCTCGCTGTGACACCAGGATATATAGCAAAATGAATAAATAAATGTGCCGAGCTCCAACAATGATCAGATATAAAGGGTATAAATAAACAGTGACTCAAACAAATGTCAGTGAAAAAAATCAATCAGGTGTAAAGTCTTTCAATCTTCATAAATCCGCGAAAGATATCCAAATATAGCAATAGTGATGAATATTACTTGTTCCTTCACCAAATGCACCACGTGCACCACACCAGATATAGGGGTGCTCACCTTATTGATAGACCCCCAGCAAGAGGTCAAACCAGGCAATTCCCTTCTTAAGGTGCCCATACACTGCTCGATTCTCGTACGAGAATCGAGCAGTGTGAACTAAGACGTGCGACCGTTTCTACTGACACACCCCGCCGAGAATGTTACTATTCGCGGCGGGTTTCTAGCCTGCTTGCCCGATAGCTGCGGAACGGGCCGGTGTGCGCACGCGCACACTGCCCGTTCTGCATTGTCGTCATCTTTCGATGATCGCAAGTACGATCTGCCCGTCCAAGGTGGGCAGATCGTACGGGCTTTCAAGAAGCATACGACCCATCGCAAGACAAAAGTCTTGCGATGGTCGTAAGGTGTATGGGCACCTTTAACCAGGGGAGGGGGGGGCCCTCAGCTCCAATCGCTCACAGATGTCCTCCAATGGTGTAATCAGACCAGCAAACAGATCTGTGCAACACTTCTTAAATAGGAAAGCAATAGCCTCCAATCTTTATCGATCTACAGTATAGGCCTCCTCAGTATAAGGTGTCAATGCCGGGATCGTGTTGACCGAAAAAAGAAAGCAAACACCATAGCGCGTACCATCCAAACAGAGTATGATTTATTAAAAGACAATTACTCACATAAAAGCAGTGGTGACGTAGCATGGACTCTCTCTTAAGAGTAGGTGCAAGAGTTTCAAATGACTGTCAGTCGTAGAGATCAATGTGACGTCATATGCTCCGGTGATCGATCAAAACTACGAACTTATCGAGTTGTGGGACCGCATTACTTCCGGTTTCCTCACAACTACGAGGTTTTTAGACAAAACATGTTGTGCACGAGCGCCATCCACGGCATTGCCCTATAGACATAGACCGCAGCAATAAAGTAATAAAATGATGTAGGATGACACTAAACCAGCGCGTTCTTTATCTCAGGTGCCCCACTCAAGCGGCGGCCATATTGAGTGGGGCACCGGAGATAAAGAACGTGCTGGCTTACTGTCATCCTGCATCATTTAGTTGTTCCCAGTCGCTCCCACTTTGTTATAATCCCAGTAACAGGTGACCGCGGAATATTTAGTAGCCAGGAAATGTCACGGAACACCTGAATCCAATGATTTGGAGGGGGAGGGGCCCAATACTTTGACATTATTGTGTATATATAAAGTATATATTAAAAACAAATGCTACTGTATATTTCTCTAATATCAATATCAGTAATATCAAGAAAATACCACATTATGGCCACTCGATGGGGGAGGAGCATAGGAAATATATACATATGGCCACTAGATGGGGAAGAACCAAGGAAATATATACATATGGCCACTAGATGGGGGAGGAGCATAGGAAATATATACGTATGGCCACTAGATGGGGGAGGAGCATAGGAAATATATACGTATGGCCACTAGATGGGGAGGAGCATAGGAAATATATACGTATGGCCACTAGATGGGGGAGGAGCATAGGAAATATATACATATGGCCACTAGATGGGGGAGGAGCACAGGAGATATATACATATGGCCACTAGATGGGGGAGGAGCATAGGAAATATCTCCATATGGCCACTAGGGGGAGCTGAGGAGTGTAGGAAGGACGTGTATATTTCCTCTGCTCTTCAGCTCCACCTGGTGGCCACATGGAGATATTTTCCTGATATTACATTCAACCTGGAAAGATGATATACTGAGAACGTTCGTTGTTGCCTCCGTTCGCACATAATTAATGCACAGGGTAGTTTTGTAGGACGAATGGCTGCGCAAAACTTTTATAATGAACCCCATCTTGTCCTGGGTGACACTGCCTGCTGCTGGGTAACCCCATCTACGGGGCCCCATAGTTTGTAGCCGGGCCCCTGTGTAGATCGGAGTCCTCCTTTACGAACCGCGCCCTCGTCTCGGCTCACATTCGATTTCCTCTGGTGTCGGATTCTCCGTGTCAGGGAGTGAAAGGGAAGAGCTGACAGCTGAGGAGCTGCGAAGACTCCGCAGGATCGAAACTCAATCAGCGGACGCCGGTATTTATCTCCCCGACCTCTGACCCCTGTCAGACGCTGGCGCCGGGGCCACGGAGAATCCGTCACATGGTGTAAAACTCAGGACGAGCGGCGCATATTCCCGGAGGTGTCAGCGAGGAAGATTCCGCTTCGTTACAGTGCACATTAGCTGAACAGTAAATACAAGCAGTAAGAGGCGGTAACATGGGGTATATGTCTGCATGGAGTGTGCAGAGAGAGAGAGAAATGTGTCTCATTTATTACGTCTCTCAGAGATCACAGGACTCCGCCTTATGATGCCCTCATCTTATATTCTCTAGGTGGCGCCATCTTTGTTCAGGCATCATCCAGGGTCACCATCTGCTTCCAGCGTTGAGATCCCGGCTCAGAGATATATATATATATATAACCTGGTGCTTGTGCAGTTCTTGGTGTTCACAAATGTCTGACACAGATCAGCCCCCTTCTGCAGCCAACTTGTGACTTGCTACAAAGTTACAGACTGATCACTGGGGGAGGGGAGACTGAGGAAATGCTTCCTCCTGCCTACAGCAGACTGATCACTGGGGGGAGGGGAGACTGAGGAAATGCTTCCTCCTGCCTGCAGCAGACTGATGTACTTTCTGCACCTGTGAGACCCATAACAAGGAATGGGGTTTTGCTACTACAAATGTGTTTCTGTCTGTGTTCCCGGTGCTTTCTCTACATGCAGGGGACCCTTCACTGTGCAGTTTTATTTAAAGTTGAACTGTGAAGCTGAATGTGACCTGGCATCAGCCTCTCGCAGTCCCCGTACAGCAGGAACGAAGGGCGAAACGGAGAAGCAGCACAAGGAGCCAATCAGTTCATGTACTGACAAGAAGCGTGCTGATAGGAGGAGAGTGCAGAAGGGTGGAGAGATGAGCTCATCCTTGTGCTGCTTCTCCTTTCACATAGTGGGGGCTCGTCCGGGATGACCTCAGCTCGGAGGAAGCGGGTTGAGTGATGCCGGCCATCAGATTGAGGACACCTATATCTTGTTGCTCTTAGTTGGTTTTAGCCCCGCCCCCTTTGGCGCTTGTGTAGCGCAACATCGTACATGGCATGTGTGAATGGGCTGTGAGGGACAGAGCCCTATGAATGACACATGAAGTCCTCAGGACTTGATATGAGTTCTGCACCCTCCCGAGATCCCGCCCCCCGACATCCATCCCAGACACTCTCTATGGTTTCACCGGGGCCCCGCCTCCTCCCCTGCTGTCGACCACATGCCCCGCCTTCTCCTCCCCTGCCGGGTCCGGCCTCCTCCACCGCCGCTGCTGGCTCTCGTTGCCTCAGCAGCGGCTCTGGAGAGGAGCGCGCTGCTGCACAGAGTGATCTGAAAAGCGGCGCATTCTTCTTCACAGCCGCCAGTGAAAGCCACCAGCAGAGGATGCCATAGCGACCCAGGCGGCCCGCACGGCATCTGGCCGGGCCCCAATGAATAGCGACCCAGGCGGCCCGCACGTGCCCCGGGCCCCATAGCGGCCGCCTGGGTCGCTATGGCGATTGTTACGCCACTGGCGTTAATGACCCTTATGGTTCCAGACAGTGTAGAGTTGGCATGAGAAGTCTATGGAGGGTGACAGGGGAAGGCAGTGGTGCTGTCTATCGGGAGGTATCCATCCATCCCTCTGCAACCGCCATCCCCCCTCCCCGTGCTCAATGTGCTATTGTCCATAACAGTTTAGGAGAAAAATCTACACAGCCAGCGCTTATCCGCTAGTAAAAGCCTCTCGTTGTACATATATCAGGTTACGTATAACGAAGGTGTCCCCAATTCACCCAATCCGGGCCTCAGTCGTAGCCAAAAGGTGTCTGGTCCACCTAATCCTATAACTACCATCCCAAATTAGTGGAAGATCATCCGGAAGAGGCGGACCGGAACACCAATGACCAGGAGCCGGAAGCGCACACCAATACTCATCACACATAGGCAAAGTTCAAACCATAATGTATACCGATAGACTCCACATGTATCTAGAGGGGGAAGGGAATGACCACCAAGAACGATAAGAGAACAGGAGGAGTCCTAAAAAATGATAAAGAACCAAAAGTGGTCCAAGGAAGGTAAACTGGAGAACTGGTAACAGGGTCATAAGAGGCCAAGGCTCATTGATGGAGGTGGGGAGGGAAGGCTCATTGATGGGGGTGGGGAGGGAAGGCTCATTGATGGAGGTGGGGAGGGAAGGCTCATTGATGGAGGTGGGGAGGGAAGGCTCATTGATGGAGGTTGTAACGTATAAGGTGAGCCTAAGTCATGAGCTTATCCCTTGTATACAGCCAGGGGCTGATACCAGGCGACACCCCGCCGTGCCGTCATTGCGCATGCGCGGCCATCTTATTGACACCTGCCGGCGGCCATCTTGGTGATGGACGCCGGCAGAGAGAGAGGAGGGGACGTTTAGCCAGCGGTTTGCCGCTGGGTCCCCTCCTCTCTCCTGAAACTGTCGGGCTCTAGGTCCATGACCGAGTGCCTGACTTTTCAGAGGGGCTGATACTGTGCGACACCCCGCCGTGCCGTCATTGCGCATGCGCGACCATCTGATTGATACCGATTGAGCGGATTGAAGTAGCAAGCTGGAGTGTAGCCAAGGGTACAGGGCAGAGGACTCTGCAACTAGGTGTCGGGCACGCACTAGAGGGCGCAGAGTCTAAGAAGGACCGGGTCTTCCACAGAGCCTCCAATGGTGAGCATGATTGGCTGCTGGACACCTTCCAGGTTGCGGCCCTCTAGCGCACCCGCACAGAATCGGGAAACTGGTTGCAGCATCGGGGCTCTGGACACACAGGCATACAAGGGCAAGGCCTGTACACAAACAGCAGTACAGGATACAGAGGGACACAGGAGCAGGAGTCTAAACAAAGTGGGATGGGAGCACGGACGTCCCAAAGGCCGGGTGTCACCGGAGCGGAGACCGGGTGACACCCCGCCGTCACGTCATTGTGCATGTGTGTGACGCCACCACGTGCATGCGAGGTCATCTAATTGACACCTGCCGGTGGCCATTTTGGTGATGGACGCCAGCAGAGAGAGGAGGGGACGTTCATCCAGCGGGAAGGTTTGCCGCCGGGTCCCCTCTCCTGAAACTGTCGGGCTCTAGGTCCATGACCGAGTGCCTGTCTTTTCAGAGGGGGTGACACCAAAATGACTCAGTTTGGTGTCACCCCTCCAATGGTGTCACCTGGGTGGGGTCCGCACCCCTCTTGTGATGCCACTGTATACAGCGACTCTTACCGCCCTCTCCGCCTTTGCCTTCTTCTTCTACTCCATTGTACCTAACTTGTGCCTCACGCTATAATGGAAAATGTGACAGATTGTTTCTTTTTCCAGAACCCTGAAGATATTTTATTAATTTTCGTGTAAATCAGAGTACCTCTCCGCCGCTATTTAGAACATTGGCGGCCACTTTGGCCCCTAATGGTCCATCTCTCGCTGATAACGCCACAGCCATTCGGGCTCGGAGACAATAAGCGGAGGGCGCGCCGACATCTGAAAATGGCCGCATATCGAGAGCAACATCTGCCCAATTACAGGCCCCCTGATGATCCGACTCCTGCCGCCGCCGTGTTTTACGGCCAAGATAATGGCAGCCGCATCCAGTCTGCCGTAATAACCTGCACCTGCATCGAGCGCTCTCCAAATCACAAGAAATAAAGATAATAAAAGGGAATTACTTCAAGCAATAACATTGCAGGAGAGGCGCTCCCTCCCTCCCTCACGGAAACTCTCCGGCTTGTTCTTTATTTTCCTTTAAAGTTGTGAGCCCGTCAAAAATCTAACGT